AACTGATGTCATAGTTTTAATACTAATTCCACCAAAAGTTTATGAATATTGTATTTAAATCATAATTGTTAGACTTGAAATATAATGATGCTTGAAAAAAGTGCATTGAACGAGAAATATTGTGAGTCGAACTTTTCATAGTCTTATTTTGAAGTTGCAGCAAATATAACTTTAAAATGCTTTTTAAAAACTAGACTGAATATGCTTATTATGAATTATGTTCAGATAATTAAATTAATCTTGACAGGATGAGAATAATTTCCTTGGTTTTAAGGACCACAGGGGTCTATGTAGTACATTACTCTTTCCAAAATTGGAAAAAGTTTGAACAATATGAACCAGGTAACAAGTAATTTATCCCTTTCTCTGCAGGAGAGTCAATTCTTCTTTTCTTTTCTTTGTTTTCCATTTTTTTCCTCTGAAATCACATTTATTCTGGATTCTCAGAGAGAATAAGTGTGACATATTAAACACATTCTCATTTTGTAGTTGTATAATCCCTCTGTGTATGTGCTTTCAAAATTTTAATTACAAAGTACAAACAAACCTTAGGAGGGAAAAACAATTTTTCCCCTGATATACTTAACATTTTTGAAATGCTGAAAATATAACTTGAATTCCTATTTGCAAAGAAATATTTATTCATCTATTCAGCTATTATTTATTTAATATACGTCCTGTGTGAAATGCTTGCTAGGAGGTAGAATACAAATCCTGTGGTCTATCCTAGGTAACAACAGTTGAAAGGAAATATAGCAGCAGTTTGGGTTGGCTACAAAAATTGGTAATCAAGATCAGTCAGAGGTCAGAATTAAGAGTGCATAGAGCTAACTGTGAAGATGGAAGTCAAACTAGGTGGACATGAAGGCAAGGAGTTTTACCAAAGGCCAACTAGGCAGACAAAAACTATGAAAATCAAAAGTATAAAAAGGCAAAAGAAGTTAAATGCAGAGTCACAGCAACAAAGTGATCATGGTACTGAACAAAATTCTAAAACAATTCCAGCTTCTAGTACCAGCAATGCAGTAGGAAGCAAGGAAGGCTTTAATGACTGAGATGTGGGCAAATCCATATACAGTGGGGCCTTGACTTACGAGTGTCCCGACTAACGAGTTTTTTGAGATACCAGCTGTCTCTCGGCCGATTTTTTGCATTGAGTTGATAGAGTAATTTGAGTTAACGAGCTCTTTAATGAGCCCGGTCTCGGAACGAATTAAACTCGTAAGTCAAGGCCCCACTGTACAATATCTGTGAGCTCCATGATGTAGCTGTACTACTAGGGAAAACGTAGTGCCTAGAATTTTTTTAAAAGATATTTTTATTGATTTCAGAGAGGAAGGGGGAGGGAGAGAGAATCATTGATCGGCTGCCTTCTGCACGTCCCCAAGTGGGGATCGAACTCTGACCTCCTGGCTCATAGGTCTGACACTGAACCACTTAGGCACACTGGCCGGGCTACTGCCTGGAATTTAATGGGCTCTCAACAAATACTGAGTTGATGAAAAAAATAATTAACAAATCAAAGGGCAGAATATCATTTATGAAATCTACCATAAACTTTCTGCATATCTTTAGTATATTGTGTTTCTGATTTTTTCTTTAAAATTTTTCTTTATATATTGACCTCTTTTCTGGTGCTATGAAGAGTACAATAAAAGTAGTGAACTTCCCTGTAAATATTTTTATACAAAAATAATTATAGTTAGCTTGAATAAGCCTATATAATTTTCAACTTGTTACTAAAATATGTCCCTCAAAGAGCAAGCTTATGCAAATCCCTGAGGCATGAAAGTATAAGGCTGTTAGGCTGCCTGAAACAGAAAGTGTGCTTCCTTAATGATAAATTCTAGTGTATGCTACATGCCATTTTGCAATAAAATGCTTTTGCAGTACACGTAGAACACAGCTCTTAGTTCTATTAACAACTGAACTGCAATGCAGAGGAAAGTTCTGAATTGTATCTGGTAAACCCACAGCAATCCTTAGGCAGCAGATAAAGGCCAAATCTTAAAAAGTGCATTTATTTATGTTGGGAGTTATAACCTAAGTATAAGCTTTATCTCAATGAATGCATTTCACTTAAGATGATTGTTTTTTTAACAACAACAAAAATGTCTTTATGCCCCAGGTAACTATCCAGTTGTATACGTTCCCTTTAGCTACCCAGTAATAGCTGCTTCTGTGATGACTTTTATGCTGTTAAGCGGACCATTAGTACTTGTGTCATTTCATAGCATCTTAATAAGAACAAATAAGCTTGCAATCAGCACAGCACCATACTGCCTCCACTACTCCTTTTCTTTCTCTGTATTCATTTAGATTTTAAGTTCAATACAGTGAAACTTATCCTGGTAGCATTTTTAGATTCATCTAGACATGTTTTATTCCACAATTAACATATGAATATGTTTAATATTTTTAAAACAAATAGCTAAATGAAGACCCAACATCCCCCAGTCTTATCTAGTTAGTTCAGTCTAGTTAGAAAACATAACCAGTCAAGCTAGAATCACTAGTCCAGAGACAACACAGGTTCGTTATACATCGATTCAGTGCATGACCAAAAACTCTTACCCATTCTGACCAACGTGTCCCTGAGAGTATATTGCTGGTTCTGAGGTGAATGGGCAGTAGGGGTGACTAGCTCAGAGGACTGCCGTACATACCACTTCTCGAAAATGCAATGCAAAACACAGGCCCTGTTGCCGGAGCATCAATAACAAACCTACTATAAGGAAATACATAATCTGTTCATCTGTATAAGAATTGTTACAATGTGTAATAAGAATAATATCATTTTTGATGGATACAGACACTCTTAACTATATATACATGTTTTTACATTTCCCTTGCAGGACTGTTTACAAGACATATGACACTGGCTTAAAAAATTACCCACAATTGGTGAGACATTTTGAGTATTATTTGTTGCTATTTCTTGCAGAGTATGATACCTGAAAAACACCAATTCAGAATTACATTTCTTCACAATGTCTTTCCTTTGCTTTGGAATAAACTAGAAAAGAATAAAGCTGGCACATCACTGGGGGTTGGAGTGTACACTGTCTGTGCGTGCCCTGTGTGTTCTCTGGCCCCTACACCTTCAGCCTGACTCCCGCCACTAGCATGGCACTGCCTGTTGGCTTTCTTTTACGGCTGAAGGCCACCAGTGTGGGGAGTGATGCCTTCCAGGGAAAGAGCACTCAGCAAGTGGCTGAGGAGAGGTGGCATATAACCCAGCTGCCCTCGCCACTTGTTCTGCACTGGCTCCCAGAGATCCCCCAGCACTAACGGACACTTTTTTGACTGCCTTCCCAGTTTTCCTCTTCTACCCCATATTTCCGTCTCCTCTGATATAAACTACTGTGCCTTGAATCACTCTTTGAGAAGAACCCTAACTAAGACTTTTAAAAATTCTAATACACGAAATATCATATTTTATCTCATAGACAACTGCAAGGTAAGACAAGCAGTATTAGACTCATTTTATAGAAAAACAGACAGACTAACTTCCCCCAAATAATATACCTGGAAGAGGCAGAGCTTGGGAGGAACTCAACCTTGTTTTCTTTCCCTGTTTCTCTTTGCCTGAATACTTCAGAATAAAGGCAAAGAGTTTGCTCTTAACATAAACCTCTTTTAAGCGTGTAAAATGGCACAGATTAAATCATGTTTACTAAGGTATGTTAAAGAACACTATTATACCCAAACTATTTACATATCAGTCATATTTACTGATGACATTCAATATCTATAATCATTCTAAACATTAAACTATATATAGGTCACTGTGATCCTAAGCACTGGTTACTTCCATATAAAAACACTTTTATAAAGTCATCCTTGGGGTATATATGCTAGATGAGATGATATCGTTGGCTGAAAAACATGTTTGACAAAATTATACTAAGGTTCTCTATAGCCCTGAACCACGGTCTCTCAACACTCTGACACTTCGTGCCTGATGACCCTTTGTTGGGGGCTGTCCTCGGCACGGCAGAGTGTTAGGCAGCACCCTGGCCCTCCCACTAGCTCCCATTGTGGGTCCTTGCCCCACAGCTGTGACACCCTGGGAAGGAGGCGGGGGGGGCGGTTCATCCTTGGTTGCGTAACACGAGTTTTACAGCCCAAACATGCCTTCACTTCTTCCTGAAAGACAGCCAATCTACGAGGGCAGTAACTTTTAATGTGGCCTTGGAACAGAAACTATATCTACTTTGATATTTTACAAATGAAGAAACGTAGCACGTAATGCTACAGGGTTCCAAAGTTAAACGTGTGGAAGAAATAACAGTGGCTGTGAATCTTACATTTCTAAAACATGACTTAATGGTGTTACACAGAAAGAGCCTTGGTTTTTCATGCTTTAGCCCAACAGTGGACTCTCTGATCAGCCCGTGTTCCCTACTAGGAGCTCGATAGAGCCACGAAGGCATGAGGCAGAACACAAAAGGCTCTGGTAAGAAAAGGAAAAAAAGGAGATGCCATGCCTTGTTAAATGCAGACAGGGATTCATCAAAATGCAAAACAGGCAACAAAATTACAAAGGACAGCTATTAAGCCCAAATGCCAAAGCACAGAACTCCATTAACATCCAGTGCAATTGAAATGGACACTGGCGCACCACTTTCGTGCTTATGAACTTTAAGGTTCACTTTAGGTTTTCACCAATTTGCCTATGTCTAATCCTATTTCCTCTTATGAGCATCTATACTGCTGTGGCGATAATAAATAATAAGTAGAAAAAGTATTTTATGCATATAAATTTAATGTAGGTACATGGCTGATTTTTTAATCAGAATTAAAGCAGTCCTGACACTAAAAAAAGGAAAACCCAATATATATTGTATATTATGTGCACGTACATGGCAGAGGTAGCAAATGAGAAGAGAAAGAACACAGATTCACATATACAACCCTTTCTTCCTAAACACTAATTTCTGGCTCCTATATGAACAGAATTGCAGTTCAGACTATGGATGCTTAGGAAGTGCACCTACCACTTGTCCATTGTGCGGGTTCTTATGAGCATAGGGAGGTCCACGGATATGGTTCCACATCTGACCAGAAGTCATAGCAAAGACTATACACTGAAAGACAGGGTGCAATGTGTTTCCATTATGTAACAATCTGGCTCATTCTGTTCATATTATACAACTTGTGCTATTTTACAAAATATAGGGGGGGAAGTACAATGTGATAACATACCAGAGATACCATGGCCCAACCAGTCTTGTTATAGATGAACTCCAAGTTGTTCCTTCTTAAATAGAGCAAGCCACCAACAAGCGACACTAACAGGGCCAAAGCGATGGTGCCAGAGTAGTTGGGTGGTCTGAAGACTCGAATCTGCAAAAATGCAATGGAAACTTTAAGTGAAAGAAAAATACCAATTTTTTCTCCTGACCACATCCTAAGTCCTTCCAATCTTCAATACAAACAATTTAGAAAGGGGACACCTTACTTTCAGACCTTGCACTAACATTCTTTTCACTCCTTACAAATCAAAATATATACCTTGAAACATCATGGCAATGTAAAAAGTCTTGCTCTTCATTTTAGGTGACTACAGTGAAACATATGCAAAGCTACCTTTGCATATTTAACCCAGATTAATTCTGTTCTGATTAATCCAGAGAACATGGGATCATCTGGCAACGAGTAAAGGTGAGATGGGGGCATAATATTTGTATTATTTCAAATTGGGACCTTTTTAAAAAGGCTTCTTAAAAACAGTTTTATTGAGAAATAATCCACATAGCATACAATTCACTACTCAAACTGTACAATTCAGTTTAGCATATTTATTGATATATGCAACCATAAATCAGAATCAGAAAATTAGAATAATTTCAACAGGAAGTCCCATACCCTTTAGCATTTATTCCCTTTACACTCCCTCTAGCCCTAAGCAAACACTAGTATACTTTCTGTCGCTATAGATTTACCTGTTCTGGACTTTCATATAATATGTGGCCTTTTGTTATTGGTTTCTTTCCCTTAGCAAAACGTTTTCAAGGTTCACCCTTGTTGTAGCATGTGTCCATATTTCATTTAAGGGTGAATACTCCATTGTATGTGTATACCACATTTTATTTATTCATTAACCAGTTGACAGATATTATGAATAATGCTGCTATAAACATTCTTGTACAATTTTTTGTGTGGGCATATGTTTACATTTCTCTTAGGTATAGTATATGTAGGAGCGGAATTGCTGGGTCATGTGGTAACTATGTTTAATAGTTTGAGAAACTGTTTTCAAAAGTGGCTGTGCTATTTTGCATTCCCACTAGTGGTGTATGAGGGTTCCAATTCTCCACTTACCAACATTTATTATCTCAATGATTTAGCCACCTTTGTGGGGGTGAATGGGTATCTCATTGTGAGTTTGAATTGCAGTGCCCTGATGACAAGCCATCTTTTCATGTGCTTATTGGACATTTGTATACTTTCCTTGCAGAAATGTTTATTCAGATCCTTTACCCACTGTTTAAGTGATCTTTATGTTACTGAGTTGTAAGAGCCCTGTATAATAAATGTAAGTCCCTTCTAAGAAAAATGATTTGCAAATATTTTCTTCCATTCTGTGGGCTGTCTTTTCACTTTCATGATTGTGCTTTAATGAACATCAAGACTATTTTTCATAAGTAGACATACAGTGGGGCCTTAACTTACGAGTTTAATTCGTTCCGTGACGAAGCTTGTAACTCAAATTACTCGTATGTCAAATCATAAAGTGAACGAGACACGTGATGCTGGGCTGATGTTGTGGCGTTCACTGTGACGTTCGCTGCGCCAACTAGCGGTGGGGTATCTGAAGCTGGCTCATAACCCGAATTTTAGCTCGCAACTCAAAGCAAAAAATCGGCCGAGAGACAGCTCGTATCTCGAAAAACTCATTAGTCGGGACACTCGTAAGTCAAGGCCCCACTGTAATTGGTATGAACTTGTGATTTCACAGTATGTATAGGTCTTGGTTCTACTAACATTCACCACTAAAAGAAAACAAGGCTCCTAGGAGAAATGGCTAACTGAGTGCTGGGTAGGGTAGGTAGGCAGATGCAAGATGAGCCTGAAATAGATCAGCTGGAAGTATCACACTCCCTGACCTCAAATTTTACTACAAACCTACAATAATCAAAACAGCATAGTTTTGGCAGAAAACAGAACAAGGAACAAAACTGAGATAAACCCGCACATACATGGACAAAAAAAATGTTTTGATAATGGAGGCAAAAACATACAATGAAGAAAGGAAAGCCACATGCAAAAGAATAAAACTAGAATGCTTACACCAAACTGAAAAATTAGCTAAATAAGACCTGCAACAATAAAACATGTAGGAAAAAAAACATTGGTACTAAACTTACACACCTTGGTCTCAAAGGGGTTTTTGTGAACTTCAAAGCAAGGGAAGTAGAGGCAAAAATTCACGAATGGGACTAGATCAAATTTAAAAATCTCTGCACAGCAACAGAAACCATCAACTAAATAAGGCAACAAACCAAAAGGGAGAAGATATTTGCAAACGATACCTCCGATAAGAGTCTAATCTCTAAAATACATAAAGAACTCATACAGCTCAACACCAAACAACCCATCCAATTAAACGATGCACAGAGGACCTGAACACACACTTTTCCCATGAAGACATACAGATATATGAAAAGATGCTTAACTTCAATAGCTGCAAGGGAAATAAAAATTAAAACCACAATGAGATACCACGTCACAGAATGACTGCTGGAATGACTATTCTCAAGACAAGAAGTAAGTGTTGGAAAGGATGTAGAGAAAAGGGGCTGGTAGGAGTGTAAGCTGGTGCAGCCTCTATGGAAAATAGTCCAGAGGTTCCTAAAATAATTAAGAATCAAGTTACCATATGACCCAGCAATCCCTCTTCTGGGTATCTACCTGAAAAAATTTGAAAACACTTTATCTATAGAGATATACATACCCCTATTCATTGCAGCGTTATTCACAACAGCAAAGCCATGGAAATAACCTAAGTGTCCTGCACCTGATGACTGGATGCGGTACATTTATAAATGGAGCGCTATTCAGTCATAGAAAGGATTAAATAATGCCATTTGCAACAAACAGATGGATCTTGAGTATATTATGCCAAGTATGTCAGGTGGAAAAGGACAAGAACCATAGGATGTTATTCATATGTGGGATATAAAATAAAGGAACAAACTCATGACACAGACAATAGCATGGTGGTTACCAGAAGGGAAGGGTCATACATAAGATGACAGAAGGAGACTAGATTTTGGATGGTGTGCAAACAATGCAATATACAAGTGATGTAGTATAAAACTGTATGCCTGCAACTTATACAGTGATTTCCTCTTTTAAAAAAATGTTTATGGCTAAGTAGTTTATCAGTGGTTGCCAAACCGTGGTCCGCGGACCACTGGTGGTCCATGAGGTCCGAAAGAATGGCGATTGCAGGTTTAAATCATCCTCGATTATTTCCTTAAGGTAAATGACATAAAATAAAGATATGACAGAATAGTTACACCACCTTACAGTGCCAAGAACAGTTTATGTGTTGCATTTTCTCACATGGCTCATGAAAAGAAGGTGTTATCGAATTTGTACCTGCCCAAATAATAGATAAAAATTATACATCTAGCTTTTTAATTAGAAATTGATTATTAATACCACTGAGTAATATTCAGTATATTTTTTAGCCTCTGAAATTACTTTGTGCCTCACATACAGTTTAATAGTTCTTAAATGATTTTTAGAATAATGATATTTTAAATTCACCTAATTTATAGCTTATAGTTATCAGACAGTTTTCTCTAAGTAAGGAAAAATGCTGCATAGGGAAATTTTAAAAACCCTGTGGCCTTATTACAATGCCCTAACAAACCAAGCTAATTAGCCTATTATTTAAAACTGTGGAGGAGAAATACATACATGAACATCCGTTCTGTCAGCAATCCACTTTGCGAGCTGTTCAGCTGCAAATCCGATTCTTTGAAGGTCAAAAGTATCAGCTCTCTTGGGTCTGCCTTTTGGAGGGAAATGCATGAATGTAGGAGCAGAGTTCATGTTGAGCTATAAGACAGAAAATAAAATTAAATATAACATCTTTATATAGCATTCATCTAACAGCTCATGTTTTTTCCTCCATGAGTTTTGGAAAGATAGCATTTATTCGAAAACCCAGTGGCTTTCCAGAACTTAATTACTGTTTTATTCACCTTAATGCACTCCTGAGTAAAAAGAACTTATAAATTAGGCTGCGTGCTGAACCTCCACATTCAACAGGCATCATTCATATTCTATCAGCTATTTCATTCTTTTCCTACCTTAAATTCTATAATTAGAGTAAAATATGAAGTAATACAAAGTGTAAAATAGAAATATTGCAATTTGGCAGTGCATGTACTATTCGACTTGAGAAAAAGTACTGGCATTTGATGAACAATATAAATATATTAGAGGCCTGGTGTATGGCCTGGCCTACAGGGGTTGGACCAAAACCAGCTCTCCAACATCTCCTGAGGGATCCTGGATTGCGAGAGGGCAGTTCTCAGGTGATGCACCCCGGAATCAGCTTCCTCCCCTCTGGTTCCAGGCGCTTCACCTGAGAACCACAGCTGCCAAGTCACCGCAGTTCCTGCCCCCTGGTGGTCACTGCCCATTATAGCTACTGGTTGGATGGTCACTTAGGCTTTTATATATATAGATTATGGAATTAATTTCAAACAAATTATAAGTAGATTGACTATTAAACTTAAAAAATGCTGATGACTGTCACAGAAGCCAACATTTTTGCTCTAAACAATCTGAATTTACCATGCTGAAGCAGGAATCCACAATGATAGTCTTTTTCTGTTTAACTTTATTAATTCAACTGTCTTAAAAATGGTTATATCTCATTATTATTTTCTAAAGGCAATTTCTATTTGAAAAGAGTACTGAGTAAAATATAAGTACAGTATAAATGATGCTTATTAACAATAAAATATCTAAAAACAAATATTAGATGAATTTGCATTGAGGAGCAAACTGCAAAAATATATACGGATTAAATTCTCGCTGCCCAGGAATTATGAAAAACGTCACAAATTAAAAGCCAAGGGATTTTGGGCCATGACTTGAACTATAGATCAGCATTGCCCATAAGATCACAGTTCACACTGAGGTAAAGATCCAGCAGTGGGATGCATGTTGTGGACATTTAATGCCTGTTAAGTGGAACAAAACACAGTCACAGGTTCCTTTCTTCCCCGTTTTCTCCCACTCCTGACTGTGTTCATGTATGTTTCCCTGACAGAGAGATGCACAAAAGATAGCTACAGCCAACATGGAAATATACATGGAAATATACGATTTCAAGGAAGAAATTCCCGGCAATGGAACAATCACAAAACCCAAACTAAGGCTTAACATCCTAGAATTTCAGAGTTAAAAGATCATATAATTCAAAGTTTTCATCTTAATTAAAATGTACAAATTCCCCAAGGCTACGAAAAAGCAGGTTACAACACAGGCTTGATTTCTAGTGCAGAGCTCCTCCTAACGCACCATATTCATTAACTCCGTGGCCTGTTGTCAGGCACTTAGCTTCAGCCATTGCACGGGAATCACATATAATTGAAGTTACTTGCCCAGCAAGTCCCCGGCGTGCCAAGAATTGCCAAATTTCTGCACTTGTTATTAATATTGTATTCCAACACCACAATACTGCTGACAGTGCTTTAAAGCATCAGTTTAGAGAAAGTACTTCAACAAAATGTGACTCAATAATCGATGAGAAAAAGAAACATAAGCATTAAAAATCTTTTAGTGGTTCTCATGTCAAACAAAATATATAATTCTGTTTTTGTGTGGATTATAATTACCCATAAAAATCATTAACTGCTATAACTTTTATGCATTTCTGCATTTAAACATGAAAACTCATTGCTAAGCCAGGGGCTAGGTTTTGGAAAAGACAAAGAGGTTCTATATTCATAATTCTGCTGAATCAAAATTAGCCTGAGGAAATTCTGCAATTTAAAACAATCTTGACTTCAGCTCTCATATCTATGCCAAACTTAAAGTGTAAAGCATATAATATAAAAGATTTCAATGATTATCTCTAACCATACAGCCATCTGGTTATATACTGGCAGCCTATAGTCAGTACCAGCACAAAAATAGGCTGACTTGGTCTCACAGTTTTGTTTCATCTGAATTAGCTGCCAATATTTTAAAGATAGAGAGATTGTATTTGGATCCCTTCTTGAAAACCACATCTAGATGTGGCTTGCATTTCTTCAGTCCTGGAGCTGGGCTGTGTCCTCAGTTTGCTGCAGTCCCCACCCACACCAGACTGTTTCCTCAACAGTGAGCCCAAGGATCAGCTGCTTGGCCTGTAGCTGTTTATTTCTTACAGTAGTTAGGAGAACAGTGAAATATCTGGCTCCATTAGAGATCTATTTTTTAAAAAGACCAAGAAAGACTTTGTTGAAATAAATACAGGAGAGAGCATATTTACTCATGCAAGTGAAGAACTAATGTGTGAAATATGCTAAGTATGTACATAAACGAAGATACCATAACAAAATGACACTAACCCAACCTACTCTCTTGGCTTAGTTTACAGCCTGTCCAGGACAGACATTTGGGCTTGAAGCTTTTGCTCTAACAGTTAGATTGGACCTGGATGACTATCACCTATATATGGTAGAGAAGAGTCACGTATATAATGAAGAGCACTTCCATCTGATGACCCCTGAGAACAATTATGAGATTCTCTAGAGACCTATAAATTACAGGAAAGAATATTTGGCTCTTATAGTATTGTAATAGTACTGTAATTTTCCTTTATAAGGAAATTCATTGCTCAATATCTGGTTGAATATATGAACAAAAATAAATATCCGCAAAATAAGCTTACAGAGAAAGAAAGAAGTAAAGAATACTAAAGAAAGACCAAGGCAAAAGAGGAAATTTATCTTATTCAACTAGAAACTGGCAATAAATAATTAATCAACCTCGGAGCAAATAAGCAAAAAAACTCACTAATGACCCTTTACAGTTAGTGAACTAGACTCCTTACAAAACTAAATGCTGTCCCATGACCTGGCAAAGCATTATGCCGGAGTATCATATGTGGAGAAAATAAAATAGACCAAGATACCCAAACTAATCAATGCCTGGCTCTGCAAGAAGTTTTACATTTGAAAGGCACCGATCAAGCAATGATAAACATAAAGCATTAATAACTGCAGGGTAAGAGGAACTCTGGGAACCAGTTCAGCACTTAAATTCTAGCTCCATATTACACTAGCTTTGTAACCTCCAACAAGTGACTGCACCTTGCCATACCTTAAGTTCCTGATCTGTGAAATACAGATAACAATACCTTTCTCAGTGGGTCATTGGGAAGCTAAATGAAAGAATATACATGAAGCACTAAAAAGAGTCCTTGGAACATAAGTACTCGATGTTAGCAATGACAATGACACAAATTGATGACAACTAGCATACTTATACCACCATTCTGTACCTTGCTCTATGGAGAAGACTGGATGACAACCTATTATTCTGCTCAGGTTGCTGTAACACACAGTAGTCTGCTCAGGTTGCTGTAACACACAGAGATGAGGCGGCCTAAATAACAGAAGCTTATTTCCTCACAGTTCCAGGAAGGTTTATTGCTAGTCAGACCTGTCTTCCTGGCTGGAAGATGGTCACCTTCTTTATGTCCTCACAGGCTTTATCTCTGTGCACATATACTCCTCGTGTCTCTTCCTCACAACCAGATCCAGGAAGTGGTGTCCTCCTTAGACACCAGTTTAAGGAGGTAATTAGGGTTAAATGAGGACCTACTGGATTAGGGTCCCATCTTTATAACCTCATTTTATGTTTAATTTCCTCTGTAAGGTCCCTGTCTCCAAAAAATGGTCACATTGGGGTTAGGGCTTCAACATATGAATTTGGGAGGGACACTATTCGGACTACTTTTCAAAAAATATTTAATATTTTGTATATAAAACTATCTGCCATATGGAAAGAAGTAAAGATTAAAACATTGAATTTTAGATAAAATTTCATACTTTTATGCACAATATTACCTTAAACTACATACAATTAAATATCAAAATAAGGTTAATGCATGTAAACTGCCATTGTATGCTGACAAAACACATTTCCTCCACAATCCAAAAGTTAAAATGTGTTTACCATACTTGCTAATGGCAAACACTACTCAAAGATAAAAATAACATTAGCTGTATTTTAATCCCAACAAACAATTCATTATAACTGCTACTGTATTTATTAACTTACTTAATAAATGGTATGTTTATCGGGCAAACAAAACGTATCAACCATAACCAACTCTATTGAAGATGTTAGCAAACGAAAATATAACTTTTACCTGTTGAAAAACATCCGTCCCCTCATCATAGTCCACCATACTGAAGAAGAGTTTGTTACAGAAAGCAGATGAATAGCGCCAGGAATTAGCCAGGATTTGATACTCTTCATTAGCTTGCCTGATAAGAACAACGGAGCAGAGAAGAAACATCAGTATTCAAGCACTAACAAAGCTGTTAATAAAACAGGCAATTCTAGGGAAAGAGGTGGCCAGTTTTTGTATGAAAAGCAAGCTAAGACTGTATTTTATATTTTTAATTGGTCGTAGAAAATAAAAAGGTGAAATATTCCATGATGTGAAAATTACATAAAATTCAAATTTTATTGTTCATTAATAAAGGTTTACTGCTCTAGAGCCACATGAGTCATGGACATATTTTTCTCTGGCTGCTGGAGTATAATAATTGTAACCAAAACTGCATGGCCAAAAGCTCATCCTGGCACTTTCACAAACAAGTTTAACAACTCTTACTCTAGACGTCTAGAGGATAAAATCATTTTTCGGCATCTCCTATATATATTTAAATTTTCTGATAATTTTTAGTAAAAGGCATAAAGCTATTTTTAAGAATATTTGCAATTCACTTTAACAGAAAAACAATAAACATGAGAACACTTTAAAACTGTAAACAGTTATACTACACCTTTTTATATCACATTTATCTAAAAATGCATTTACATTCAAACCTAAAAGTAATAAATTAAAAAAGGCACAAAGAAGCCAATGACACAAACAAGCCTCCTCTAAGAGCATATTTACTTCTATTTTCAATTAATTTCTATTGGACATTTTGTTGATTTTCCAGATAATAAAGCTCTATATTTAGGTGTAGGGATGGAAACTGAAATGGTGTTGGAAGGATGTAAGCATAGTAATTGAATAAAAAGACAGTAAGTGATTGCTAAAATGTTAATAAAAAGGGTTCTTCTTCCATACAGTAGTAGCTGATTTCTCAGAGGAGTTTTGGGGAGTCCCTCTCCTAAAAATGGAAGTAAAGAAATAAAAGAGTATACTATCACAATAACAACAAGCCTTCAAATAACAGCTGCAGATAAGAGATTTCAAAAATATCTGGAAACAAGTTAATGTACTAGTAAAAGTTCTGATGGAGAAAGCCACACCCTCAAAGGACACTGAGGTGCATGACCAAGCTAGGAAAATACTGGATCAGAAGCAGCAGAGACAGGCTCTGAGATGTTATCTCGATAATTAACAAGCCTGTAGACTATTTCATGGATGCTGGTAGAACACATGAGACTCCTGGGTCAGAGACAAAGGACATTATTACTTCATGTTATTTGCATCAATTCCCTGTGCCCCCGCGCCTCACAGAGTGACACAAAAGGATATTTGTGGATGCCTGCACACACAAAAGACAGTGTTACCAGAGAGGAATGCTGAGTTTGAGGGACTTACTGTTTTTATAGCGAGTGATAACAGGGAAGACATGAGCTCACTCCTCAAGGCTTGTCCCTGCACACACAACACTTTGAATTATTGGTCTATGCAGTGAGAACATGCAAGGATGCTGGGGCCCATTGCAGACTGCTTCTCCCAAATGTAGTCACACACACAAAGAACAATTATAATGTAAAGAGGGAACAAAGAAAATAAGAGAGCACTTACAGATTTTAAATATGACTGTTCAACCTAAATACCAATATCAGAAGATGGAGATCAGTAAAATTCACAGAACAAAAAGTGACACAGGTGGACTCTATTGAGGGTAGGGAGAGGAAGGGACCTAGAGATTTAATCCAGTAAAGACAATTTTGAAGCAGAAAGAGACGGAGAGTGAAAAGAGAGACAAAGGGAATATTTCTGGAGACATAACACAATTCAAGGAGACTAAGTCTTCAAATTAAAATTATTTCTCAGGTTCTGAGTAAGAGGAATAAGAAAAGACCAACACCTATATATATTATGACATTTCAGAACATTATGGATAAAAAAGAAGATTCTAAAAGGTTTCAAAATAAAAACATATGGAACAAAGGCTACCAAGGAGAATGGGATTGGACTGGTTATTAGCAACACTAGATAACAGGACAATTCCTTCAAAGTTTTGAGGGCATGTTTTTTTTTTCAATCTTAAATTCTATATCAAAATAATTAAGTTTGAAATAAATATGTTCTAAGGAATCTAAGAAATGTGAGAACACCTTAGCATATAATTGATAAAAAGGTAACATGAATAAAAAGAAAAGAAGAAAACCTGAGACTATGTCAGAAGCTCTAAAAGGTAGAGAATAGAACAGCTAGAAGTATGGTCAGGTAGTAAGAGTGGAAGATATATAAGAAGGCTCTGAAGTACAATTTAGAACAGGACTTTACTTGGCCTTCAAGATGAAGAGAATAGATTCTAAGCAATCATTAGAATCAGAAAGAGTTGGAAGATACTAAGACTATAGTAAGACATTTGGTCCCACAACAAGAAAAACGACAATGGAATGAACATAAAAGGTAAGATATAAATGTAAAGCAAATTAAAATGTATCATAATTTTGATTAACTGATGATGAAAAAAGGTTAATTATTTTGAACAATTTCTTTTCAGTGGAACAGGGGACATAAACAATGGTGCTATAGAAAAGGAACCCTAATCATAACCTACTACTTTGCAGTCAATGCTATTTTTGTACAAATAATATAAATGCTGCCTATTACCTTTCAACTTTCTAAATAAACCTATACACAGAGTACAGACATAATTACAGTTACAGTACAGAATGTAAATGCTATCAACTATGACAACATGTAAGTACAGTGACCACAACTTGGTAGGTAAAAGGGAAGAAGGGGAGGTGATGGGAAAGGGTGCACCTGTTAATCTTCATGTTACGAAGGAATAAGAGATAACACTTATAGTTAATGGACAAGAAAGGAAGAATATAATAGTAAAAAAAATAAAAAGCTACAAAAATGATAAGGGATGAAATGAGTTAAATTCTCACCCATCACAGCAAGAAATATAAAGAAGATCAAGTCTTTGTAGGAAATTAATATGAGTATTATGAAATACTGTTAAAAGAATAACTTTTAGAGATAAGAAAAAAATCACCAGAAAAAAATACAAAGGGATTCTAGTGATTGCCTGTGGCCAAGATCGCAGATGAGCACAAGGGAATGTAGTTGTTCATTGTAGGCCCTTTTTCCATTAAAAGGAGCGCATAGTAATTCTGTGATTAAAATATATATTTAAAATGGCTACATATGTACAGGGCTATAATCTGAGGTCATTTACCTTAAGGGCATCGTTTTATTAGAGCAAAGTCTAAAAACTGACCATTGTAATGATTAGCTTAGGACTGCATTGTAATCAGTAGGCAGAAAATTATATAGTATGTTTTTAGAATATGTACAATGAAAATAGTTACAAACTTTTAAAGTTTCGGTTGTTAAATAAGATTTAATTGTAATTCACTGAAAAAGCATTTACTGAGCACCTAAAAGCAGGAAGTGAGCTAATCTTCAAGGTCTGCTCGCAAAGAGTTGGTTTTTTTAGTGGGAAGACATAATAAACAACCAAAATAAAATACATACAAATAATTAAAAGCTAAAATATCCAGAGGAGAAAATGCAGTGAATGATATTACAGGAAATAAGGAGGACCTACTTCCATGGTATGGTCATAAAGGTTGCTCACATGAAGTGACAGTAAAGCTCAAATCCCAAGGACTGAAAGCTAGAGAATGGACAGTTCAGAGAGCAGGAACCAAGCCCAGAAGCCTGCAGAGGGAAAACACTTCAGATGCTGGCAACTGATGCTGGGTATGAATGAAAATACCTCCGTCTACTGGAGGAATGCACAGCCTACAGTCTCTCTCACTCCACATAAAACAGGGCCTCCCTCCTCTTCCAACACTAAAATAAAAATGAGCTAAAAGCAACAGGTGCCCTAAAATCTGATCTGATTTTTGTGTCACGTGGAATACATACAATAGTACTGGTAAGTACTCATCACTGATTTTCAAAGAAAAAATGTATAATAACCATACAGTGACTTTACCCTGACAATGGAGTAGGTTTGAGCCTCTTTGCATACTAATAAACCTTTAAGAGACCAATGCTACCTTAAAAAAATCATTAGAAGAATGGAATTATAGTAAAACAACTATATAATTTTACACCAAAATAATTTTTCTTTTAAAATATAACTTAGGGAAATAGCAAATCAGCAAAAAAAATGGCATTTTTATGATATTCTAAGAAATGAAAATGCTTTGTTCTGAAAAAAATACGCAGGGAGAATCAAATTTTAGTATTCAACATCTGTGTATAGTATCTAATGGAATTACATAAAACAGAGATAATGTTCAATTTCTTTTCCTCATAAGGTTCGAACCTAACACAGACCTACTAGACCAGTGATGGCGAACCTATGACACGCGTGTCAGAGGTGACACACGAACTCATTTTTTGGTTGATTTTTCTTTGTTAACTGGCATTTAAATATATAAAATAAATATCAAAAATAGAAGTCTTTGTTTTACTATGGTTGCAAATATCAAAAAATTTCTATCTGTGACACGGCACCAGAGTTAAGTTAGGGTTTTTCAAAATGCTGACACACCGAGCTCAAAAGGTTCGCCATCACTGTACTAGACTCTACTACGCGTACATTCACGCACTCATTAATTCACTCCACAAATACACAGGAGTGCCAACAACCTGTCAGCTGATGCAGGAGTGAATAGTGTATGCAAGGTCCCTGATCTCAGGGAGAAAAAAATTCCAGTGAGAAAAGGAAACACAAAATTTCAGATAGTCCCAAGTACTCTGAGGAAAATAATAAAATGAGGTAAGGAAAATTGATGAGTCAAAGAGAATGACTTCATTTTGCCTTCAAACTCTGTATCATCCACTTTTTCAGATTGACTTCTCAATGATCAATCTATCATCTGTTCCAAAATCCTGAAAGTGTCCCAATGCTTGCATCATAAAGACAACAGGCAGAGTAGAAGACAAGATCCTCCATCCCCGGGGCACAATTCATGTCTACTATCTATGTCTCTATGAACATACCGTACTCAAAGGGCATCTCTGTTTTATGACATCCCATGCTCATTCTTTAAGCATTAAATCCTTTGTTTGGAACGCCCTCACTTCTTTCAAAAG